AAAAAGAAAAAGGAGGAAGTGAAGAAATGAAAGAACTTGCAACGAAAATAGAAGCTATGAAACATAAAGCAGAAAGTACTAAAGATTTAGAAGTAGCAGCTGATTTAAAATATTATGCAATACCAGAAGCAGAAAAAAGAATGAAAGAATTAAAGGAACAAAATAAAGAAACAACAATGATATCATTACAAGTTACACCAACACAAATAGAAGAAGTAGTTAGTAGATGGACAGGAATTCCTGTTACTAAAATGAATCAAACAGAGAAAACAAGATTGATGAAATTAGAAGAAGAACTACATAAACGAGTAATAGGACAAAATGAAGCAGTAACAGCAGTTAGTGATGCAATTATTCGAAGTAGAGGAGGATTAGGAAATGAAAAACGACCAACAGGTAGTTTTATGTTTTTAGGACCAAGTGGAGTAGGAAAAACAGAATTAGCAAAAGCATTAGCAGTTGAATTATTTGATGATGAACAAAATATAGTTAGAATAGATATGAGTGAATATATGGAAAGTCATAGTGTATCAAGATTAATAGGAGCACCACCAGGATATGTAGGATATGAAGAAGGAGGACAATTGACAGAGGCAATTCGTAGAAAACCATATAGTGTAATATTATTTGATGAAATTGAAAAAGCACATCCACAAGTATTTAATGTATTATTACAATTATTAGATGAAGGAAGATTAACAGATGGAAGAGGAAGGACAGTTGATTTTAAGAATACTATTGTTATTATGACATCAAATTTAGGAAGTGAAATAATAATGAAAGGAGTAGAAAGAGAAGGACAAGTGAGTAGAAAAGTTAAAGAAACAGTAATGGAAATAGTAAAGAAAACATTTAAACCAGAGTTTCTTAATAGATTAGATGATATTACAGTATTCTCACCACTTTCAGAGAAAGAATTAAAAGAAATAGTTAAATTACAAATGGGAGAAGTGATTAAAATGATTAAAAAGAGATATCCATTAAGTGAAGTAGAAATGACAGAAGCAGCAATAGAAGGAATCATTAAATCCGGATATTCAATAGCATATGGAGCAAGACCAATGCGAAGATATATAGAAAAGACAGTAGTAACTTCAATAACAAAATCAATAATAAGTGGAATGATGAAAGAGAAGAATAAAATTCAAATAGATTATGAAAATGATAAAATTCAAGTCAAAATAACAGATAAATAAATGATAATACTAATTGAATGTATTTAGTAAATAAAATTGAATGAAAGATAAATTAAAGAATAATATAAAATACTATTCATTTCAATAACAATGAATGTTTTAAATTTAAAATCATATTCAATAATTAATATTTATTTTCAAGAATGATAATTATTGAAATCTATGTGATATTTTAATTATTATATTGATAATTAAGAATATTGTTTATATTCTTTCTTTTTGTTTGTTTTTCTGTTTTAATTGTTGAAATTCCATATTCTTTGTAATTTCTTTTCTTCTCTAGATATCACAGGAATGTGTTCTCTCTTTATTAATTTCTTCTTCTAGTATAGTATTTTATTTTTCATATCATTTCTTCAATTGAAACAATTTTATTACTTATTTCTTCATCTTTATTACATTCTTCTATTATTTTATTCATTTGATTCTTTATTATTTCTATTTTATTTATTGTTTCTTGACTTTTTATTATTATTAGTTTTCTTCTTCTTTCTGTTTCATCAATCCTATCAAATATTCTTTCTCCTCTTTTAATAGCTTCTGAATATGTTTCATCTGCTTTTATTTCAAATATTTCATTTTTAATACATCCTAAATAATATTGATAATGTTTAGTAGTATCATCAATTGATTGTTGAATATTTGGAAGTGTTTCTATTTCTTCTTTAAAGAAATGAATGTTCTTGTTTATTAACTCATCCATTTTAATTTAATTAATATCAGATTAAAATCAGATGATTAAATAATTAAATACACATTTATAACACATCATTATTTATTATTTTATCATTTTAATAAATGTCATTTCATTTTATTCATTAAATTAATATAATGATATTGTTATTTAGTTAAAATGAGATTATTATTCAGTTAATTTATTGTTTAATTCTTATGTAGTTTCATATTTCTTTTTTTATTCACTTCTTTCATTGTTATTGTTCATATTCTTATCATTCTTATTTTTTATCATAAGATAGAAAAGAAACAACAAAATATAACTGATACATGATAAATGAATGATAAATATTATCAAATAGGAAGTACAAATGTTAGGAGAATGATGGGAGTACATTATCTGTATTGAAAATTGATAATTATTATATAACATCACATTTGATATTATATAATACTTTAATGAATATTGGTATGATTTATCTCATCATTATTTTATTCTATTTCATTTGATAGAATAAATACAATCATATCATAAATGTCATAAAAATACATATTGATATAATGGATATAGAAATAGATAAAAACAAATAAGAAATAAAAGAAACAATAGAAATAATGAAAGAGAATTCAAATGAATATTTAAAATACTAAATTGTAACTTCAATAATGA